GTGATACTTTGCTCAGAAGAACATTCTCCAGCTCCATCCATGTGAACATGAAGGACGTAAAGTCTCCATCCTTCTTAATGGCTGCATAGTATTCCATGGTGTACATATACCACAGTTTGTTGATCCATTCATGGATCGATGGGCACTTGGGCTTCTTCCATGACCTGGCAATTATGAATTGGGCTGCAATAAACATTCTGATACGAATTTCTTTGTTGTAATGCGATTTTTGGTCATCTGGGAATATACCTAATAAAGGAATTGCAGGGTCAAATGGCAGGTCTATTTTTAGTTCTCTAAGTGTTCTCCAGATGTCTTCCCAAACGGAACGTATTAGTTTACATTCCCACCAGCAGTGTAAGAGTGTTCCCTTTTCTCCACATCCACACCAGCATCTCTGGTTTTGGGATTTTGTGATATGGGCTAATCTCACTAGAGTTAGATGATATCTCAAAGTAGTTTTGATTTGCATTTCTCTGATGATTAAGGATGGTGAGCATTTTTTCATATATCTGTAGGCCGTATGCCGGTCTTCTTTGGAGAAATTTCTTTTCAAGTCCCTTACCCACCCTGAGATGGGATCACTCGTTTTCTTCTTGCTAATATGTTTAAGTTCTCTATGGATTCTGGTTATTAAACCTTTGTTGGAGACATAACCTGCGAAAATCTTCTCCCATTCTGATGGCTGTCTGCTTGCCTTTTCTTTTTTTTTTTTTTTTAATGTCATGTTCAACCAAGTGAATCATGGGAAAAGAAACTAACGTGTATCAAAGTCATACTTTCAACTCACTAAGTGTAAACTCAGGTGTGGTTTTCACTGACTTTTCAATAAAACACCTTGAAATGAGTTCTCGAAGGAGATGTAAGTCACGTGCCACTTGACATTTTGGTTAGTGATGGACCCCAATACAGCGATGGACCCCAAATCAGCACTAGAGACAGATGCTGGTTTATAAGACTATAATGCTACGTTTTCATTGTGCCTTTTCTATGTTTAGATATGTTGATAGACATGATATCCCGCTGTTTTACAGTCACCTCTAGGCTTTAGTTCAGTAACATCCTCTACAGGTTTGTAACCTAGGTGTGCACCAGGCTGTATAGCAAAGTTTGTGTAAGTACACCTGAGGATGTTCACACAATGGCAAAATTACCTCATGATGCATTTCTTGGAATATAACCCTGTTGTTAAGCCATAGATGACAGTCCAATCTGGGGATAAATTTTAATAGTACCCTCTTGGTACCTCATATGGTTGCATTCCATTTAAATGCATTGCAAAGCATGATGATGTGTGAGGTACAGAACCAGAGATCAGCAAGCCTGATCTTAATGCTTTCAGCACTACGGCTCTTATATTAGTATATCAGCTAGGACTTATTCTGCTAGACAGGTCAGAAAAACTGATGGAAATGAATTTGATTAAAAAAGAAATATATACATATGTATTTATAAATACATATTCTTTTTTAATAAAAGGAATGTATTATCTGACTTATGCAGAAAAGCCCAGAATTGAGCTTGCATCAAGCATGGCTGAATTGGGGGCTCAATGAATATTATTAGGACAAACTATGAGTCCACCTCTTGGCTCTACCTTCCATCCTGTGGGCTTCAGTCTGAGCCCCGCAGAGCAAGGTGGTGGCAATAGCAGCACCTTCAAGCTCTACAGTCGTCTCTGGTGTCAGGGCCAGTGTAAGAGTAGGAGTCATATTCCCAGAAGTCTGGGTCACATGACAGCTCAGAACCAATCAGAGCGAGATGCAACAGACAGGTGGGTGAAAGCTTAGGTCATGTGTTCTGCCTCTAGAGTGTGGGGCAGGGGGCATGGAGCCAGCTTCGTGGAGCCTGGGAAACCACAGAAGACCACAGTTCCTTAAGAGTGGGATGAGGTGGCCTTAAAGAGAAAATCAGGACACACTTCCTAGATAGAGACGGAGTGAATGCCCAGCAGCAAAATCAACCGATGTCCACTACAGTTGGACTGTTGTCATTTTATTCTAGCCCTGATGGGAAAAAAGCCACTAAGAACAAATTCAGCAAGTTATGGACTCTCACTGAAGGAAAGAGACACAAGGAACTTGGGAGCTCAGCCTCTTTTCTCTAAATAGGGCATAGTTTATACTGCCAGAGACAGATGCTGGTTTATTCTGTGCTGAGAGCTCTCTAGCCAAGAGGGTTCCAAGCACCCTTCCCTCTGCAGAGTGTTGGGGGCTTTGCAGCTCTTACTGGTTAAAGAGAAACCTTGGGAAAAGACTGAAATAGAGCAATACATATGTTTAGAGGAGAGAGCTGTTATTCACTATTCTGGAATTCAGGGCAATAAAAAAGTAAACAGTCTTATTGGCTCAAAAGGGGGAATCTTTTCATCTCTGAAACAACTTTATTTGAATTGTTTTGGCATCTCAGGAGATTTTCCCTGTGGCTGTATTATAAAATAACTCCTCGTGTTTTCATAATACACTCGTCTGTTGGGCCTTGTGAAATAAGGAATTACTTGACACCTTTAGTTGCTATGTGATGAAGCTTTTCTATAATTTATGTGTCCTTCAGTATACTATGTAATTCATACCCTTTTAGACTATGTAACTTTAGAAGCAATTTTCATTGAAATTTCTTATACCAAATAAATTTGAGATAATTAGTCAGAAGCTTTGTTGACCCAAATTGCCCGTGCCAATACAATTTTACAGGTTTTAAAAGTAGGACACATTTCTGGAACTGGTCTTTGATGATGACCATTTGGACATGATTTTTGGTTTTGGAAAAACATTTGTTCCCAACCCAGGTAAAATCAATTCCCTTCTGAGTTGATTCCAATAATGTTTAATGAAACTACTCTTTATAAATTGCAAGTGACATTTCTTTTTTAAAAAATGTTATTGATACGTGATACCTGTCCTATTGATGGGGTACATGTTTGTATTTTGTTATGTACCTTGAATGGGTAATGATAGCGTCAGGGTACCCGGGGTGTCCATTACTTTGAGTATTTATCATTCCTAAGTGTTGGGAACGTTTTGGGTCCTCTCTTTAGCTATTTTGAAATATGCACGACAGTGTTGTTAATTAAAGTCACCCTACTCTGCCGTCAAACCTAACAACTTATTCCTTTTCTCCGTATACCCATTAGCCAATCTTGCCTCATCTCCCTCCAACCCTCCTCAGCCTCTGTTGTCATCATTTATTCTCTACTTCCACAGCATCAACTTGTTAGTTCCCACACAGGAGTGTGAACAGGCAATATTTGTCATTCCGTGCCTGGCTTATTACATGTCACCCAGTGATCATCGTTCCATCCCGTTGCTGCAAATGACAGAATTTCCTTCTTACTTAACGTCTGAATGGCTTTCCATTCTGTGCCTACACCACCCATATGTTGACAACACTGTCGGTTGAGTTCATAGCTTCGCTATTGTGAGTAGGTCTGTGATAAACATGGGGGGACAGGTACCCTTTGATAGATCGATTTCCTTTGAAATAAACATTTTTTAAAAATCTTATTAAATGAACTCAAGAGTCTGGTGGATTCTGATCCAGATGAGATATTACCTAAGACCTGGCAAACTTTGAGCAAATTTGAAAGTGTTCTTGTATTAGAAAATATCAGGGTTTTTTTTCCCTTTTTTTGAGACAGAGTCTCACTCCATTCCATCACCCTGGGTAGAGTGCTGTGGCATCATAGCTCACAGCAACCTCAAGCTCCTGGGCTTAAGTGATCCTCTTGCCTCAGCCTCCCTAATAGCTGGGACTGCACATGCCTGCCATAACACCTGGATGGTTTTTCTATTCTTGGGAGAGACAGGGTCTCACTCTTGCTCAGGCTGGTCTCAAACTCCTGAGCTCAATCCTAAGTGCTAGGATTACAGGCGTGAGCCACCAAACCTGGCCTCAAAGTATCAGTTTTTGAGTTCCACAGTCCCTTTATGATTACAGAATAGCCCCCGTTTTTATTTATGGGACCCCCACACCCATGTGCTTTATTATGGTCTAGAATGTCTTCTATTGAGTTAATTTCTTTCTTCTTCTTCTTCTTTTTTTTTTCTTTTTGCCCGGGCCTAGGTTTGAACCTGCCACCTCCAGTATATGGAGCCAGTGCCCTACTCCTTTGAGCCACAGGCACTTCCCTGAGTTAATTTCTTAAAAACAACAGACTATGCACAGAAAGTATGTTAGGCTAGGAAGGAAACTGAGTAGACATCTGTCTGTGGTGTAATTCAGGAGCCATTAGACAGAGCCTGCTTAAGATTAAGATTCCGTAGAGATAGTTCAGAACAGGCACTTGACAAAGATTAAGATAGATGAGTAGAAATAGTTCAGAATAGGCACTCGACAAATACCTGTTCAATGAAGGGAAAAATAAATGAATGGATTGGCATGAAGTCATCTTGCAGACAAATTAGAAAAGTATCATTTAGACATTCCTCTTAATTTACCTCCCTCACTTTCAGCAGGCTCCACTTTTATCAATGTTTTAGCAGTGACAATTGTCATTAAAGAATATCACACCAGGACTCAGAGAAGAATGTGTGTCCACCCACCTTCCCAGAGATAAAAATAACTGAATGGCAAGAGAATTTTCTAAAGTATATGACTCACTCAGCTCCTTGAATTGAGAAAAGTAAAGCTTTCTTTGTGGCGTAATTTCTATCCTATGGAGAAAGCCATCACCATCACACTAAGTCATGAGTGCCCCCAAATGTATTAGTCACAGGGGGACCTGAATTGTTCTACCCCAAGGACACTATTCATAGGTGCCACCATGTAAATGGCGCCCTGGAGTTGTGTCAACTGACATCCCCCCCCCCCCAGTTATTCTACTTGAAATCTATTGTTGAATTTGTAGCTGGTCCAAAACCTCAATTCTCTAAAGCTTGGTCCAAGTTTTTCAGGTCTTGATCTTATTAGGAATTAGGAAGTTTACAAAAAGTGTTGCTTTACATTAATGCATTATTTTTTACTTTCTCCTTGCTTTTCTGATTTGTGGGGCTGGAACTTAGGAAGAAGGATTTCAAGAAGAACCTAGAAGCCTCGAGTTGGAGCAGAAGACGGCGTCAGGTAGGGTAACTCAGGGTGACTCCTCCTTTTCTGGGTGGCCAGCGCTGACAGCGGGTCTCAGAGCCTCCCAAAGCCTTGCGGATTGCAAAGGAAAATCTGTATGTTCCAAATGATTGGAAACTGGACGAGAAACGCGGCATGTGATGTATTCCAGGCGCAACATCTGGGCGATCTGGTCATGATGCAGATGCCTTTGTCTTCTTTCTTTTGTTGATTACAGTTCTTCACGAACAAACACTTAACACAGAAGCAGATGATGATAATGACAGAGAAATTTCAACTTGAATAATACTAAAATAAGGAGTGTGGTTATTTCTGGAAATATGGTCATTACGGAAAACATTATTTAGTTAAGTTTGCCGGGAGGTTTTTTTTTTTTTTAAACGTTAGTAGCTAAAGTATGCAGCTTTGCCGAAGTGATTAACCCTGTGATAGGACTGCCTACAAGATAACATGGAAAGGCACACATAGTGAGTTGATAACTTAGATGTATGATTAAGATCAGAAATGATAATGAGATGTAATGGGCATAAAAATAAACATCAGTAGCATGGACCTAATAATAAGGAAAGCTCTGAAATCTGAATACTCTCAGCCTCTGTTTCCAATGGCTTTTAATTTACGTTTCCTGCAGTGCAGTGTAAGAGGATGATGCCAGATGTGTCTACTGCTAGCAGAAGGTCAGGTGCTTACAATTTAATGCAAATGGGGGAGCAGGATTAAGAAAATGGGAACGGTAAGGAAAAGATTGTGCAAACAGAGTCACCTGCTATAAGAAATGTGGCATCTTCTCTGGTGTGGATGGATTGAGTTAAGGTTCTTGGGGCTGTTGAGATGGAGCAAAGGTATTTCATGTGCAGAAAGGATAGAAATTTGGGGGGGGGGGTAGGGAGGGAATACTATGGACTGAATTGTGTCTCTACTGTCCCCAAGTTCAAATTCATGTGCTGAAGCTCTAATTCTCCATGTGGTGGTATTTGGAGGTGGGGCCTTTGGGAGATAATTAGGTTTAGATGAGCCCATGTGATGAGATTAATGCCTTAGAATAAGAGAGACAATTTTTTTTCTCTCTCTCTGCCATATGAGGACACAATAAGAAGGTGGCCATCTGCAAGCCAGGAAAAAAGAAGAGAGAATTAGCAATTAGCCAGCCCCGCCATTTCCTTCCACCCTGTCCCCTCATTTAAGTTGCCTGAACTCCCTTAAATGGGGGGAACCTGCAGCCTTAGGGCCACAGGTGGCCTTCTGGATTCTTGAGTGCAGCCTTTTGACTGATCTTTTAATAAAGAGATTTGTTCTGTTAAGTTTGGATTCAATTGAGGGGTCGCATTTGGGGATCTAGAGGGCTACATGTGGCCTTGAGGCCACAGGATCCCCACGCTCCGATCCTCTCACAATTCACCCACAGGTTTGGGCTCAAACCTCCCTGACCGTCTCCACATTCTTCCCAAGCATTCATCCTCCCATTTTTCATTTTGTTCCATCGTGGGTGTTCCAGTCCAAAATCATCTTTCTGTTGGTCTGTGGTTTATGAACTTATTGTGTCCTAGAGAGCAGGAATGATGCCGGTCTTGTTTAAGGGTGTCCCTAGCACCCTGGACAGTGCCTGGCAGACAGTGGTCATTCAGTAAATTCTGAAGTGGCTCACTTGATCTGCTACATGCACACGCTCTTTTCCTCTCGGCAATGGGGACGCAGCTGGGGTGGGTCTTCTATGGGCCAACTTGATGCCTATTTTAGATTTCTGTGTTATAAAAAAGAATAAGACATGGAACTTGCCCTCGAGACAATAAATTATGTTTGCAACAGGAAGAATAAATGGAAAAGTTTGATAGAATCAAAGTGCTGCTGGGAACCGAGGAAGGGGCATTTAATTTGTGCTGGGAAGGAGGATCAAAGGAGGTGCCGTGGGGCTGATGGTTCTGGGAATGAAGTTTGGAGTTTGAAGGAAGAGGCCTGGGCAGAGTTGGAGCTTGCAAATCACGCCTTTGCAAAGGGTTCTGGGTACCCTTTTTGTACACTCATCTTTGATTTTCAATTCCTCAGCACGGCAAGAAGGCTGGGAGAGTGGGGGGTCATTACCCCGTGTCAATGCAAATTCGACCGAGCCGGAGACTTTGAGTTTCTCAGCTGCTGTTATAAATGATTTTATTTCCCCTCTTGGTATAGTGTCTGCCACGGGGCAGGATATAGAATGTGCTGGAAGACAGACAAAAGTAAGGGGCTTGGGAGCACCAGAGAAGGGGGAGAAACCCAGTTTGGGGGATCTAGGATGCTTTCTGGGAGAATGTGGCATATGAGCTGGACCTTGTAGGACAGGGATGAAATTCATTTGCAATGAGAGACACATTATCCAGGGTATTTATAAGGTGAAAAGCAAACGTTGTAAATTGAATCCAAAGTGATACCTGTTTGGAGTTCAGCCTGTGTGTCAGGAGGGCAGCACTGCTCACCAAGGATTTTCTAAGATAGGACTTGACCCTGCTGAATTCTCCCATGACATCTCATGGGGAGAGATTAGCCATCCTCTTCTCAAAAATCTTCCAGGCTGCCCAATCTTTAGATCCTCAGAGCACATTATGAAAAATCCAGCAGAACAGTCTAGATTTCCCTCAGCAAATACATTTGGAGTTAGACATCCCTGGGAAAAGAAATTACACAGAAAAGGGCCTGGCGAGGTGGCTCACGCCTGTAATCCTACCACTCTGGGAGGCTGAGGTGGGTGGATTGCTTGAGCTCAGGAGTTCAAGACCAGCCTGAGGCAGACTAAGAACCTGTGTCTACTAAAAATAGAAAGACTGGGAAGAGGGGATATGAGAGAAGGGAGGGTATTTGGGGAGACCTCACCTAGTGTGCATGATGCAATGGTACATGTCAAAACCATTAAGAAATGAGTATAATTATGATGGATGTGTTACTTGGTTCAATGTAAACATTTCACATTGTATATCGAAGCAGTACCCTGAACCCCATAAATGCATCAGTGTACAAAGTTATGATTTAATAAAAAATAATTAATTATAAAAAAATTAAAATAGACTAGCCAGGCGTGGTGATGGGCATGTATAGTTCCAGCTACTTGGGAGGCTGAGGCAAGAGGACCAGCTTGACATAAGAGTTTGAAGTTGCTTTTAGGTGTGATGTCACAGCACTGTAGCATGGGGCAACTGGTGAGACTCTGTCTCATAAAAAAAAAAAGAAAGAAAGAAACTATGGAGAAAAGGAGGAACAAAGCTTAGTCAGAAATAAGAATCCTGATTTCTTTGTGATCAGCTGGTATGGTTTTAGATTTTGGCATGTGAATAAAGAGCTTACTTCTCTGATTTCTTAAAAAATATATAGTAATCCTCTATGTGGAAATTTCAAGCTGAAAAATGCGGTGTTTCTCACAATTTCTTTCTTTCTTTTTAATTTTTTTGGAGACATAGTCTCACTTATGGTCACCCTGGGTAGAGTGCTGTGGCATCATAGCTCACAGCAACCTCAAGCTCTTGGGCTCAAGTGATCCTCTTGCCTCAGCTTCCCAAGTAGCTGGGACTACAGGTGCCTGCCACAATGCCTGCCTACTTTTAGAGATGGGGTCTTGCTCTGGCTCAGGTTGGTCTGGAACCTGTGAGCTCAGTCAATTCACCTGCTTCAGCCTCCCAAGGGCTGGGATTGCAGGCATGAGCCACAGTGCCTAGCCCCCATTTCTCACAATTTCTAAAAAATGCTGGGATCCTCTCACGTGGGGGCTTGCTATTAGGCCCCTCTTCCTTACCCGGGGTTTATTCCCCAGGGCAGACCTTTGCAGCATATCTTTCCTTAAAGCACTTGTGTCTCTGGTTTTAGTCATTTGATTCCGATCTCTCCTCCATAGTAACTATTCTTTGAAATCCTGTTAGGTGTAAGTTGTGTCTACTCAATTATTTGGAAAGTTTGGACACAAGACAGTATGGTAGAACCCTGGTGCCCACTCAGACTCAGGTAGTGTTTCCCCTCGACTCTGCGGATATATTAGTTCCATAGATATATTAGCCCATTTATAACAAGTATCGATTATGGAGTATCTATTATGAGCTAGGTATATTGGTAGGAATTATGCTATATAGCCACACACTGCTTGATGACAGGCACATGCTCTGAGAAACACATCATTAGGTGATATCGTCGTTGTACTAACATCAGAATGAACTTACACAAGCCTAGATGGCACAACCTGCCACACACGTAGGCTACAAACCTGGCCAGCATGTCACAGCACCGCAGACTGCAGGCAATTGCAATTGTAAGAATCTGTGTATCTAAACGAATCTCAACATAGAAAAGGTGCAATGACAAGCCAGTATTATCATCTAACAGTTCCACCATTGTGCATGTGGTCTGTTGTTGGCCAACCCGTCATCATGTGGCACAGGATGATATATGCAGTGGTAAATAGGACAGATCCAACTCCCCTTCCTGGAGCTTAAGGAAAAGGAGAAATGCAGCCATTAAACCAATAAAAATGTAAGTCACAGAGAAACGTCAGCTTCCAACAGGTGTAATGTGAATTTTAGAGGCAGCAGGGTGCTGGGGTTGTCTCGCTCATGGAGTTTATATTAATAGTCAAATGCGGCCTGGAAAATGTGAGCCCAGAGGGCCGAGGTGAAAGGCAGGACACAGGACGTGCTGAAGCAGAGATGTGAGCAGGAAATTTGGGGGTACCAGGGAGCTGAAAGGAAACTCAATCTGGGGGATGCAGGAAGTTTTCTGAGAGAATGCGACAGGGGAGCTGCGCCCTGGAGAACAGATAGGAACTTCATTTGTGCAGAGAGATGTTAGCTGGGGTATGCATAAAGTGAATACCGAACACTGTCCACTGAATCCGAACTGATACCGGTTTGGAGTTCAGCCCATTGTTTTCTGGCTGGTGACCTAATCCTTAGGTGTCTGCCACTTTATCCTGAGGTCTATAATTTATACTTGCAGGGGCCACATGGCAGGGCAAGGACAGACTAATTAGGAGTGTGGTAATCTTT